GGTGGCGCGGCGCTTGGCTTGGCGCCGCAGGCGCAGCAGGCGCCAGCGAGAGGGGGTCTCCATGTGGCATGCTGTCATGCGAGATCTGGAGTTCTTGAATGCAGGTGGGGCTGTGGGGGTGAATTCACCTCGTTGCTGTTTCTGTTCATGGGCGGATTGCTGGGGACGGACCGGGCCACACCCGCTCCGCGATGCTGCTCGGATTTCGTGGTGGCGTGGGGTTAGGGGGGTGCAGAACGATCATAGATCCCCGGTCTTGCCACAGGTGCTATTTTTGGTGTTTATGGTTTTGGGTGGAGAACTGTGGGAGGGCATAGCGCACCGAAATCATCTGGCCGTTTTTGATGTGAACTTTTGGGAACCAGGAGAAGATGTCCATGGAACCCGTTTGTTCCCATGTATACTCCTTGTTGAGACACTCTTCCTTCACTCCCACGACCGCCCTTGACTTGTGAGTGGTGCTCCTTGACTTCGTCTGCGTGTCGCGGTCGAGCCAACTCCCGTGATCGGTCGAGCGTTGGCGGAGCGCGGAGCACGCGCGGAGCACTCGCGTGATCTCTCGGCGCGCGGCGAAAAAGGAACAAGAGAATAGCGTCCTTGCTCCTAGTAGTACGGCCAGGAGCCCCTACTAGCTTCTTGTTCCTAGTAGACCTTTACATACCTTTACCCAGCTTGCAACAAACAGTGTCCTATTAAGCAGGAGTTTTCGATCATGGACAATGTGATGCAATCTGTTGAAACAACGTTGGGACTGCCATGTTTTTGCAAACAAACTGAAGTCTAGTGACCCACAACACGCGTGAAGTGTGTTCTTTTTGCCTCCCCAACGTCCGAATGTCCAAAAACGGCAAAAATCATGATCGACTTCACCCATCAACTGGATCTGATTCAAGCCTCTCCGAGCTTTCCCCCGGCTCAAGTCGACGTCGCATTCGCTCGCATGCGCGACCGAGTCACCCATGCCTGTGAAGCGCGACCAACGGCATCGAACCAAGCGCGACCTGCGATGGGAGCAGAAGCTCGTTCATGCAACACCTGACGAACCTTCACCTGATCTAATGGCTTGAAGATGCTTGAAGAAAATGAAGCTCTTAGCACCTGCACCTCACCTTGAAGCACAGTGGACAGTGAACTGCTTCTGCTCGCGGTGGCCTTCACATTCTCAGTGACGCTCAGCTCATAGTGTGTACCATGATGCTGAGCACACTGTGAGTACAATTGCACCAACGTGGGTGTGTTGGTGTGTGTGTGTGTGTGTGTGTCATGGTCACCTACGATGTGATGCGTGCTTTGACTAGCTTTTTCAGTGGTCGCAGCCTGATGTCAACCCTGCTGAGCCTTAAAACCAAGTGATTGGCTGAATTCTGAGCGTACGGTGGGGCCACCGGCTCTGCTACCAACTAGAACTAAGGTTTAGACTACTGTAGATCCCAAAACTAAAACCGCCAGTGGTCGCTGGTGTCTCTGAATTCGGCGAACGTGTGATGCATTCTGTTGATCCAGATGCATTCCAACTAGTCCCCACCGGGACTTTGGTGTATCATTCATAATGAATAATGAATAATGATGATACAGTCATTCAGCATAATATCATGTATCATGGAATCATATATCAGCATAATATGCATCGTATGATTGGATAGAATTGGTGCATCATGTATTCATTATAGAACTCAAAGCACGGGCAATCTTGATCATCGTATCATGTCGTAGACTCCACGAGCCCTGATCTAAGTGTGTGTCATCCAACATCCACGATCCACGTACGACGGTCCAAAGCGACGGAAGAAGCCGGGAGGTGTCCCATCCACCCGGCTTTTCATGACGGCTTTTCATGTCCAAACCGGAAAGAAGTTGAGGCAAATACAGCTGAAACATGTAGAAACATGCCAAGACCAGCTCTGTGGAGTCCAAGAAGCCATCTGCTCTGTTCTGATCGATGCTGCAGAAGCGCTTCTGTGGGATGACTTGGGGGACCTTATGGGAAGCATTTCGATCGAGGCATGTGCATGTTGTTCATCTGTGTTAACCTCTCCGAAAGTTGCTCCAGCCATGCATTCCTCAGAAATCCGCTCATCATAGGTCAATTTGGTCACTTATATACATAGTCACATAGTACTAGACTAAATAATATAATATATATATATATACGAATCTACATCAAAGTAACTATACGTAACATGCACCTGGATCCAACCAATGGGCCTCTTCAACCAGCTTCAGGACTTATCCAAGTGAGTCAGCACTGACTATCGGCTGGGGGAAAAGCCGGAAAGTCACCGATGCTAAGCCTTAAGCAATGTACTAGAATATACGCCCGAACGATCCCGAACGCCTGAAAGCAACTTCTGGACTTCCGACGAAGTGAGCCCTGCTCCGTCTTCCAACCCGTTCCCGGCCGTTCGTACAGAGATATAAATATATATTTATATATAAATATTCCATTCATTTCCATTCCATTCATGTCCATTCCAAAGCTGTCCGAGAAGAGACGTGTCGTTTTGCGGTCACAAACCAACATCCAGCCATCCGTCCATGGACGCACCCGCGTCCCGAAGCAATTGTTTCCGCGCTTGGCATTTGCCACGAGCTGGGCTGTGCATTGACACTCCACTGAAAGGGGCACTCTACGGTGACTGCCCATGCGGTGAGAGGAGAGCGTTGGGATCGCGCGATGCTGGGATCGCGCGGGTTGGCTGGCCCGAAAAACGGATGGGTTCTGTTTGGATCCAAGCTTTTGGATCCACACGCAGCGGAGCTGTCTTGGGACCCCCACCTCTACGAAGCGGGAACAAGAGGCCTTGCATTCTCGCGAAAAGAAGCCTTGCTCCTAATGGGCTATTTGACTACTATAGTATCCCTGGGAGTCAAAGACTATAAAAAGAATGGTCTTTAGGGGACCTGAAAGGGAACTTCCTTTACTTTAGCCGGTCAAAATATAGTCTTTGGACTTCCAGGGGTAAACACCTGCCTTCTTACGTTCGTAGCTTCTTGTTGCTCGCCCAACGGTGCCTTTGCTCCGGGCCGCAAGGAAAAAGAAGGAGAATGACCAGCCTGGGAGGGGACGAAGAAGGTCCCAAACCCTGGAAGTCAAAGACCATTATTACTTAAATAAGTAAAACAATGGTGGTTCCGTAAAGGCTATTAAAACAATGGTGGTTCGACTTCGGAAATGGATCTCGGCAATGCCCAGTTCGCCCAGTTCCGCTTCAGCCAGCCCACCGATGTTCCTTTGAACAAACCGGTTCCGCGGAACCAACGAGACGAGCGAAGACCGGTGAAGCGGAACATGTTCTTACAGAGCTTTAGGGGGATTCTTCTCCCACCAGAGACCAAGGGAGGGTCTCAAAGTGCCAGTAGCTTCCTGCTACTAGTAAGGCCAGGAGCGCCCCTAGTAGCGTCCTTGCTCCTAGTAGCGATGCCCTTGTTCCTAGTAGTAATGCCAGGAGCTCCCACTCTTAGAGGCGGATCATCCGCATGGGCAGCCACAGCTGAGGCGGACCTTTGCCCTTCAGCCGAAAGAACAGAAGCATGCCCCGACGTGATACAACAGCAAGGCCTCTCGGACGTGCGCATCACAACGACCTGTGCCCAGAAACGACGTGATGTGGCACACCCCACATTGCACCCTGCTACAAAAAAGAGGCTCCTCTTTCGCTCGCCCTCGCGCAGGCGAGTGGTGCACCCCACGAAATTAGTCATAAGCAGTGTCCCCATCGCAAGAGTGTGATGATTCATCAAAGCCTTGACCCCCCCGGAACCATAGGCGTCCTGGAACCCGGACATGAGCTGCTGTTTTTGGTAGGAAGTTGGACCATCTTTTTGGGGTGGTTGCTGGTCCAAAATAGAGGTCACAAACAGGTCGTAGAGGTTTCAATAGGTTCTCCGCTGCCAATCGAAGTCATGAACAGGTCGTAGCGGCAGCCAATCATCCGATCCCTACGTTCGTCCAGTCTGACCCAGGCCCCAAAACCTGGTCTTTGACCTCCTTAAATATTGGCTTTGTATGACCATCTCCAGTAAGGCCATGAGGTCTTTCACTGACTTGTGTAGGGTATAGTCTCAGAGGTTCGATGGCACATGTTTTCTGGTTTAGTAGTATGGACTCCATCTAAAGGACATCTTGGGAAGCCAGTGCCATCGAACCTCTGAAACCCATGTAACAGGCAAGGAGGATTTGCCACGAGGTCTTTCGCCCAGCTGTTCGGGCTGCCCGGTGCGAGCTTTGTGCGCCTCTCTATCGCCACTTGAAGAATCACTTGCTCTTGACACGGCCAAAATCACCTGCATCGTCCATGGTCCCCTTTGTAGACTGAGCACGGACACTCTGAGAGGTCTCGCCGCTTCGACTGCGCCGACTCGAAGGTCTCATCCGAAGGGGCTGCTCCGCGCCAGCGGGCTCCGCGCCAAGCCCATCGAATACCTGCGCGGTCGGAGACGCTTGGGTTGGTACCGTGGACACGGTAGAGAGAGAGAGAGAGAGTGGGTACGGTGTTCACCCCACGTGGCGCAGCAGAGTTCGCCCCGTAACTGGCGTGGCGCAGCAGACTGCAACGGAACGGGTAGAAACGGGTCGACCATGTGTCCAAAGCTTCCAGCCAGTCGTTGCCTGCAAAAAGCTCTCCCAGCTGTGTTCATACCTCGAACCTGTTTGTGACCTCTATTTTGCACCACCAAACCACCCCAACAGATGGTCCGACTTCCTATTAAAACCGAGGTCATGTCCGGGTTCCAGGTACATCTACAAACCTGGGGGTTTCCAATGGCCTTCCGAACGGAACTGATTGATCTGATTGTCCGGACTTGGTCAGCATTCAGCATCAATCATCACGGCTCTTCGGTATATTAAAGGTCATGTAAAGAAATGCTGGGCCACGACTTGGGGTCCTAAAAACACTCCTGGAGAGACCACTTCCCCAACCGCGCTCGGTTGGACGCTTGATCCCTTCGTAGCCGCGCCGTTGGCGTACGCGGCGGCGCGGTTTGCGTACGCGGCGCGCCGAAGGTTCTCTTCAATGCGAAGAGACGGGCGACGACCGAAGAACGACACATCATCCCAACTCGGCGGCTCGGGATGATCGACATAGACCCTCCCTCCATCGACAAGTCGATAACAACCAAAACCCCCACGGCTTCGAAGGCGGAAAAACCGCTGCCACCAAAAGAATGGTCTTTACCTGCCCCGAGTCCAGGACTGTCCTGAGACATTCAGTCGGTCAAAATATAGTGGAACTGGACTTCTAGGGATATATAGGACCACCCAAGAGAACGCGAGACCAACCTGCTGCTCAACCGGCAGGTCGCGCCTGTCAGGGGGTGAGAAGCCCGGCAGGCCACTGAACCTCGGCGTTGCTCGGGGGGGTCGCGAGCGGTCCTGATGGTCTGATGGCAAAACTGAAGTAACACAATCAAGAAGATCGAGGGGGAACAAAAAGAGATCCAGAACAAGGCCCACCCCAAAAACAGGAAGAAGTATATACTCACCTGCAGATTCACATGGGGTTCCCAAAACCATTGTAGAGGACAATGGTCCCTTCACCACCGGTCCATTCTCTGGTTCTATGATGTTCTATGTTAGTATCAGGGTGGAGTCCGGACCGTCGAGGAAGTCGTCTGAAGCTCGATGGTCCAAGTGGACGGCTTCACCCGTTTGGCTTTCAACCACACCAAGTACCACACCCCTTAGTTTAATAGGCGGGTCATCCCGAATCAACGAAGGATTTTACACTACAAACACCAGGTCAACCATTTTCCATTTTTTGTTGCTGGTCTTGCAATTCACCTGGAACCCGGACATGACCTCTGTTTTTGATAGGAAATTGGACCATCTGTTGGGGTGGTTGGTGGTCCAAAATAGAGGTCACAAACAAGTTCGAGGCAGGTCCCGTGTTTTTCCGACCACAGGAGAGTCCTCGTCTCCCCCAGTTCGTCTATCCTCCTCGCGCACCCCGGTCTCGTCGTCCTCCAGCTTCATCGTTCCCTTCGGGTGCCCTTCAGGTCCCCCAGACCACTTCTCGATGTATTCCACCCGATCTCCAATCGAGGAGTGCGCCTGGAGCCGGGGTTTCACCGTCGTGGCCCCAGTGACCGAAGGGTGGGTTGCGTCACTTCGGAAGCTGAGATAGGGCTACAGGGCTACAGGGCATGAAGATCCCATTCTTGGGTCGATGGCCCCACCGTCTGCAGGCGTCTACCAACTCCGAGGAAAGAGAAAAAAAACGAGCCGGCCCCACCTGATGCTTCTGATCCACATCCGCCTGGAGGGATCGGTCTTGCCAATGGCCAATCTGTGCGAAAACCCCTCAAAAGTGTGGAAGTGATTTGGGGTGTGCACGTCAAAGCAGATCCAGCTCCATCCGAGAGCCAAAGCCATAAACATCCTCTCAGCTTTACTCGGGCCGTACTCGCACGCCCAGAGGCGGGGTCGACGCGACTGGAAGACCCACGTCTTGTTGCAACAGGTTGTGATGCTCAACAGCCGTGGATTCCACATTGTACTGTGCTGACTGTGGGTTCCTCGTCATCCCCAGCTGGGTCCCTTTGTAAGGCATTCTCCTAAAGCAGAAGTTCATGGGCTAAAGCTGTGGCCTTTTTGGGTGGGTAGCTTCAAGCTGTCGTGCGACATAGCATGCGGATGACCTTCTGCCTTCCGCCCATGGCCCACGCCCACCATCCGAACAGCAATGAACTCGGCGCCCACGGTTCGGCCAGTGCTGGTCCGATCCTACCAGAGAGCCATACCATTAAAGAAACAACTGTCCCAGACGCGACCCGTGGGACTGCCATAGGACTGCCGATCAGTTTGGGTGGTGGACCCCCTCCATTGATCTTCATATATTCCAGTCTCATGGAGTGTATGGGCCTGTATGGGTGTCAAATACCTTGAAAATGGCTTTTCTTAACTCCTGCAGCTGAACGCGCGTTCTTCGCCCCTTCTTCGACGGCCGGGCCTTGTGCGCCTGCAGCTGCTTCATGTGCTGCTGCGCGGAATCGCCTCGAGCTGCTCGAGCTGCTCGGGAAGAGAGGCTCGCGGTGCAACACTGCTCTGTCGGGGGTGCTGGCTTGGGTCTATCCATCCCTTTGCCGGGTTTCAGTGGATCAAGTAGCAGGCCCTTCCATCTCTAAGATCCCTGATGGGCCACGACCTCTGACCGCTACCGTCACCGGCGCGTCACTCGACCCTACGAGCCCCGAAGCGACGTTGGTGCCCGGCGGTGGGTGCCCGCGAGGTTCCTACCCGGCGGTGGAAGGCCATTTCGGTGGAAACCGAACGCGGCTGAGTCTCACGACATCCACAAGCGTCACGGAAGCTGCGGTATGGTAAACGGCGGGCTCCGCCGGCGGGCTCAGCCGGCGGGCTCCGGCTTCGGAATCGGCTCCATGGACCATGGAACTGGGAAAAATCGAAGTGGCTGAAACGGGGTTCCAAATGGACTTCATGAGTGGCAACCAATTGAACCAAAGGCCCAGCGTCCTGTCAGAGAAAAAAAGAAAGAAACACCTACAGCCGCGTCGCAAAACAAGAAACGAACAGAACATGCTCCACTGCGATCCCCCCAAGCTGCTTAACTGAGGACCCTCCGAATGGCACCCGGACTTCCTCGCACGTCGCCCCGATCCCAGACGTCGCCCCGATTCCCCGGAGGCCACCGGTTTCGGTCGGCTTCCTGGGAGCAATAGAAGCCATTCATCTTTCAGAGGCGGGATAGACCCGGATCAACTCGGGATTCTACGGCCTTTGATATATTCTGAAGAACCATGATTATAGTATAAATATACTAAGGATCTTTACACCACCAAAAACCAGGTCGACCGCGGTTTCTCGGGATTCTCCCCACGAACCTTCGCCTCGTTAAGCTTCGTTGTCCACGCCCACGGTCGGCCCGCGCCTATGGCCTTTTCGAGGAAGTCCAGGCGTTGCTCCAGGGTGGCGTGCTTCTCGATGGTGGCCTCCCGGTTGGTCGTCTTCTAGGTCGTCTTCGGTTTTCGTCAGGTGTCCAGGTTCCTCCCCCAAGTGAGTCAGGTCCAGGTCCCCCCAGAATGGTCTTCTCTTCCAGGTGAGTCAGGTCCGGCCTGACCTCCCCCAGGTCCGTTGACGGACTGGTCAGGGGATCCGGACGGGCTCTGAGGCCAAGGAAAAACGCCCGACTGGGGCGGAGCAAAGGCGGTTGCCAGTTGTCCAGCTAAGGGTTCCAAAAAGAAGAATACACGCACTTCAATGAAAGGGACTCAAGGAGAACAGTCCATTTTCAAGAAAGGCAACCCAATCAAACAAGAATCAGGTCCATCTGTGGGCAGATTCATCGGACATCCCCGAAAGGGACACTGTTGTGGAGAAGTCCATGTGTAAGCACTCCAAAGTTCATACAGACGTCTCAAAGAAGCATTCAAACACGGAAAATACAGTATAGTTTAATTTGTATATGTATTGTTGTGTTGTTCTGGTCTTTTGCCAAAAAGGGACATCGCCATTCTACCCCTCCCCAACCAAAAGAGCACTCAAGCAAACCCCCGTTTGCTGAAGTTTGTGGAATTCCAGGCCATGTTTCATGTTTGTCGTAGTAACTGTCCACTGTTGCTCCCAAATGTACAATCGTGCATAGATAGCTTTCGAGCTAGAGACAGTCTCCCACTCACCTAGCTTTCAAATCGCCAATGACTATAATGACTTCTTCCAAGGGCCAAAACCATCCAGCCAGCTTCTTCAAAGTGACCTTTTTTGGAGACTCTCAGTGACCTTGGTTTTGTGACCTCAAGCCCAGGGATGAAAAGGTCTGAAGAACCATCCAGGTCAACGATGGTCAACGATGTTGGGTCGATGCCGACCCCGACCCGTGATTGAATCGACCCGTCGACGGGTGAGGCCCCTCGATGAATCCATCGAACCAGCAGCCGTTTCTATGGGGTCTCATTAGGACCACGCCTCTGGCAGTTTGCAGGTGAACCTGCTTTGCTTGGGCAGGTGAACTGTTCACCCCCTATTTCACGCTTGCCGCTGATACCAGGTCCGTTCACACACCAGGTCCTTCTTTTTGGTCCCACCGAACGATGAACGGATGAACCACGACCCGAAGCCATCGACGGCTCGAGGGCCGTGGAGGGGCTGGCCGTCAAGATCTGAGACGTTCCGTCTGAGACGTTGGGCGGTCCGCGGGCGCCTGATGAGTCTTCAATTGGGCCCGGTGCTCGTCGAAGTCGCGCTGGTGGCTCAGGAAGGATTGCTTGTGATCCTCCAGGTCCTTGCAACAGCATGAAACGCTTGAGGAAACTCCTGATTTTCCTGGCACCCACCCCAACCATCTTCGAAACGGAGGGGGCGGCCAGCAGCCCAAAGGATTGATCAAACATCATAACATCTTGGAACGCCTCACCGAAATGGATACTGGCCAGAGCTTGAAAAAGAGATCTTCCTCCATTGGTTTTGGTCTGCCAGTATTGTTTATTGTGAACTCCCGGAAAGACATTTAAACAAATGATGCGACATCTCCCAATAGAATTGGCATTCCTCCCCTCTGCACGAGGGCCAGGATGGTTGGTCCACCATGCAACAGAACGGACTCTCAACACACTCCGCTTGACCCGGTAGAGGAAAGGGCATGTCACCACCCAGTAATATGACCAGTCAGACAGCTCGTGTTCTCCGCCGCGTGGTCACCTGCCATCCCCTCCAGGGCCGCAGACTCCCGAAGAAAGGCCTTCTTGTGCTTCGCCAGGAGCTTGGCATGTTCCTCGGCCGAGTCGCCCAAGACCTTCTCGATGTATTTCATGCGCTCCTCCGCGGTCGTGTCGACCGCGCGCGGAGGGCGCCGCGCGTCCGGCGGAGGTCGGAGCACGGAGTCTCCCCGGTTCGGAGGCGACCTGTGAAACCCTGGAGAATCCAGTGCCCATGGAGAATCCAGTGGTTCCTGGAGTGGCTGGACTTCGAAAAAACTTCACCTGCGCTTTGAGTTCAGGCCCACGTAGATCCACTTGGTATCTCAGGAGTGGAAAAAATCTGTTCATTGCGTGAAAGCACACTGAAAAGGCGATTCGAAAGTCCCGGCACACGGGTGCCGTGGATGTCTATCTTCACACCTCTCTTTGTCGGGCCACGGTCGCATCCCTTGGAACCCTACTGCATCCAAAACAGGAAGCAGTTCAAAGACCCCAACTGCCATGTCCCGTCCATGTGCCATGTCCTCCCCTCCTCTCCTCACGGGCTAACTTGCTGGCTGTCCCCCACTTGCTGGCTGTTCCACTTTGCATTGCGCTTCCACCACCCATCAAGCTCTCTCCCCCCTCCCTCCCCTCTGCTTGCCGGTGCTACTTGGGCGCTCCTCTAAGCTGGCATGTTGTTGACCTTGAACCTCCTTGTGAGCTTTCAGGTCCTGCACAGGCTCCGGAGCCGGCTCGAATCATCCGGCACACCCTGACACCCGAGACGTTCCGGACCCCCGCGTTCTCTCCGAAGCTCGCGCCGGGGCGCCTTGGCGTGTCGGTCGGCCGAGTCCCCCATCAATTGCTCCAAGTAGCGCATCCGCTCCTCGCCATCGCGAGGTGGCGCGCGCCACGACGCGAAGCGAACCGAGGTCGAGCGGCCCGCGGCCCGCGGCCGGATCACTCGGCGAAAGGAGTCTTTTTGAGGCTCTCGATGAAGAACCTCCCTCCGATGGATGGAAAAGACCTCTTCAGATGGGGGGCGCTTACAAAATCAAGAGTCTACATTAGGCGCTAGCCGCTAGCTGCTAGCGTGCTTTTCTCCGGATCCAACGGCGGCAACGATCTCTGCCAGTCGGGACGTGGCCGAGTGCGCTCCTCCATGCTGCTGTGCCGCTTATGGAGAGCCTCCTGCACGGATGGAAGATGGGAACACATGAGAGGAAGACATCAGCCTTGGCAACCACCAGGAGCAGGCGGAAACCCACGTGAAAAACCACGCTGGGAACTGATCCAAACACGATGGGCCTTAGGAGTTCATTCTCTTGGTGCCTTCCGGTCAAATGGACCGCGACTGTGAGCCGGTTTTTCCCCCCCCCTCGAAACCAAACCTCTACTCCGCGCCCGAAACCAGGCGGGAAAGCCGCCGTTCGATTGTTCGATCAAAACGGCTCGACCCACTGGCCAGGTGAGGTGATGCTGTCGAACGAAAGGAGATGAACTCCCATCTTTTGTTCAATGGCTTTGGCAGCTTGGGCTGGAACATACTGGAACTTGGAGGGAAAGCGGTGTTTGCTCAAGCTTAAGTTGGCTTCTCATGGGATGCAAAGATGCTGCGAGAACGCAGGGAGAGTCCATTCGAGTTGGAGGAAGGGCGGATTCAGAACGGAGCTCGGTGGCGCTGCTGCAGATCCTCCCGTCGTCCTGTCGGGTCGTACGATCAGAAGAACCAAGAAAACCAGAGCAACCGACCCTCGGCTTCTTTCATGAACGGAGACAGTTCTGCAATTACCTCCATGGCAACATAATTACAAGGATGGATCAGAAAAGACCACTGGCTGATTGATTGTCCTATGAGTCCTATGTTCCATCTATCTCAGGATCTATCCCAATTCTCGACCACCAAAACAAGTCGCCCATTCTCAACTTCTCTCGCCTTCTCTTGCCGGAGCCGTTCCACCGACTCGGCCATCTGCGAGTGGCGGCCCAGCTGATCCTGCCGGTGACCTTGAAGTTCCTGGCGCCCCAACGAGCTGCGGCGCACCAGACATGGACGTCAAAGGTCCAGGTAGAGTCATGACGGGATTCAGAGGATGTGTTTTTTCCGAGGGACAGTCAGTTTGGGCAGCTGGGCAATGTTCACTGACCTGTCCTTGATGTTGCAAGAGGAGTCCGCCTGATCACCCCAGAGAGGGCCTGAAAGAAGCGGCCACTTAGAGGGGCAGAGCTCCCCAACGGATCCATTGATACCCTGTAGAAGTCCAGTTCGACTGTACTGTTCCTTAGTGAAGTAGAGGAAATTCCCGATATCAGGTACTAAAGACAATTCTTTTTTACAGTCTTTGAGGCCTCCTAGATGTGATTCGCCCCATGCTGCCCAGCTCTATTTTTTGCCGGGTGTTTGAAGGGCTGGATCCAATTGTTCTTCTTACTTTGGTGACTCCAAACAGTCCGCGACGGATTCCAAATCATCATAAATCATGCACCCTGCACCCGGTGTACACTCCCTGGAATCATCCTGGGCCGTGGATGGGAAGAGATGGCCCCCTTGGATGACCCTTGAAATCCGAAGACACTTCCAGGTGGTCGTCACTTCACTTCCACTTCCGACACTCCCTGGAGTGTCTCAGGCTCCTTCGGTCAACGTGCTCAGAGGGATGAAAAAGCCCTGAGGCACCCCCTGCCACACGCCGAGACCCAGAGCCGGGTCTCACCCCGAGCGCGGCCTCCAGCGTCTTCATGTGTGCGGTGTGCTTGTCCGCCGACTCCCCCATAATCTTCCTGGGACCGCCACTGAGGTCAGGATGGTCTCCAACTGTTTCCGAAAAGCCTCCAACCTACTAGTTTCTTGCTACTTGCTACTAGTAGCAATGGCCTCCACCCTAAGAGCTTCAGGAGATCGCCATGAGAGAACTCCTCCCACCATCGATTTGTGTCAAATCTACTTTTCATAGCACCGGGGCAGTCGAAAGCCCGAACTTGCTCCTTGCTTCGTTTCCTATCAACTCCTCTGATTGTGGGTGACTTGGGAGTTGTTCATGCCCCCCCAAAAAACTCCCCCGGCAACTCGATATGTCCCATCAAAGAGCCCATGTCCATTCACCAACCCTAAGAAGCCGGGACTCCCCGGACCCCGGTTTGGGTCCCCAGGACCGGCCGGAGACCTTCGGCCTGTTGGGTTCAGCTCGGAAGCGACCTCTGCCGCCTCTGATTACGACGGCAGCAGAACGTCGTTGTTTGGGAGAGCGGAGAAAAGGAAACGCCTTTTGGTGGGTTTTTCTTGGAAGGAGCCTCTAGTTCTTAAGGGGAAAAGACTCCTCGAAATCATTCCTGTTCTTCTGGGAAGCGGGTTTTGAGACTTGAAGGGACGTCCCAGCACCTTTGCAGTCCTTCGACAATTCCTCACGGGCCCATACGTCTCCAAATCCTTCCAAGCATCTCCAGGTACTCCACGCGCTGCTGGAGCGTCGCGTGGTGCCTCAGCGCGCTGCTGTGCGCTGCTGCTGCCCGCAGCAGCGTGTGTCACCCGGCCGAAACGGCGTGCGGAGAGTCCGACCAGTCAAAGACCACCCGGCCAACACGTTCAGAGTTCAGCCAACCACACGGGAAAGCCTTGTGCCGGTGGAAAGTCACGTTCCCTTCGACGGCACATCCTCGTTGGATGCATCCATCCATCCGTACTTTGGGCAAGAAAACAAAAAGAAACATCCGTTCTTTCTTTGGATACACAATGTCCAACGTGGCTCGGCCGTGGCTACCATCGTCTGACTGCCCCCTCACCAAAGCAGTCCGGCAGAGCGAGATGGATTCTGAATGTCTCCCTTCTGCATCCGATACTCATGCAATTCCTCAAACACCCAAACCACCAAGCCGTAGCCTAAACAGCTTGCTCCCCCCCAAAACAAAGCACCAAAAAAGTAACATCCGTGCCTGCCTGTTACAACCTTAGAATGCCTCAGAAAAACGAAGAACCGTGCCCAGTCCTTGGTGCTCAGCGGCTGATCTTTGGCACCTTGGGAGCTCTTCATGTCCGCGTGGGAATCCTTCAACAACTTCAGGTCTGCCTCGTGTGCCTCGCATTGAACGGAGCGCCAGTAACGGAGCGCGGTTTTGCTGTTGTTCAAACACCCACCTCAAATCTGCCGCCCCCGCAATATCTCTTCTTCCTTGACAATCCCCTAACAAATTGGGTGTGGTTTTCAGGTTCACTGTTTGGGCAAAGCAAGGAGGGAAATTCTTCTCGCCGGCTCGAGTTCCTCTCATCCTTTGAGGAACTCATCGATTCTCCCTCAACGTCCGGAGGTGTCAAACCAAAATGGCAACATGACAGCAAGATATACCCCAAATGCTGTCATCTGGGTCACCATCATGTGGGTTTTATGACGGGTCCCGCTCTCGGTCCAACCGGTCCGCGCCTGCAAGCGGTTGGACACATCGGGCCCACCACCTGACTGGTCGGCCCAGCGGGTATCGGTCGAGACCCGCTGGGTGGGAGTGGCCGGAGGAGTGGATCGTCCTTCGACCCATTTCTGGCGCGACCGCGAAAACGGCCCTGGCTCTGGTTTCGGTCTTGATCTGGGTCGTGATGTTGAAAGGCCTTCGGAAAAAGTGAAGAACCCCCCCCCTTTGGGGGGCTCAAAAGCCAGCGACGGCGGCGCTTGAGGCGACCGTCGCGTGCCAACCCGGCCGTCGCTTTGCTACCAAGCCCCGCGCGAAGCTCTCGCTTCATGATCTGCGCGTCGTCGCTCAAACGCTGCCTGAGCTGTGCCAGAGTCCGTGGGAGTACTTGGGTTTTTGGAGATAGAAAGAAAAAAGGAAAAGGGATTGTAAAAAGGAACAAACAATAAGTATGTGTTCTGTGATGTAAAAGCGAGAAACTATGTAGAAGAAAGAGACAGGAGTTTGGACCCAATTTTCAAGCTAGCACCCCTTGAAGTGCCTGATCAAATTTTGCCCAGAAGCCCTGGAACCCTTCTTTTGTCCAATGGTGACGGAAGCAGCCTTCAGTCCTTTTGGAGTCCTAAGGCTTGGTTCTGTAGCACCAGGACTCTTCATGCTGCAACAAGAATCTCTACTTCCCAGGTCCGCGACCCTGGACCCGAATCCTCTGGAGGGGTCTGGGTCTCAAATCCGTGTTTTGAGGGACCAGTCGGCCTGTGAACGGAGTTTCTGGGTAGAACGATTCGTCTGAACGGACCCGGAGTGTGTTGAAATCGGGCCCCGATTCGGAAGAATGCCCCAACAAATTGGGGAGGACCGCTGGGCATTCAGACTCCGGACTGAACCAAAAGAGGGCCGTGTGGAAACCAGCCTGTGGAAACCAGACGTTAGGTCCCTTCTGTCTCAACAGAATTCGGAATGGGACCAAATCCGTTCTGCACACGCAACATTGCGACGAGTTTGAGTCGCTCTTTAGCTATATGATGCTTAATATGTCTGAATCTATGTATTATGATGTATTATGTAAACCTCAAATAACAGCTCAATGTAAAGAGCTGAAGCATCACGATCGCATCGCCTCCTTGCGAAGAAATCCACGGAGGAAGCCGGTTTCCCCCGGAGTTCCCGTCGGTTTGAGGCTCCGGGCAAGCTCCGTTCCAAGTGTTGGAGCCGCTCATCGCTCTCCTGACGACATGAACCGGTGGAGGAACCGGTGGAGTCGGAGTCAGACAGTGCACAGGAAGACACCCAACCAAACAGCTCCTCCTTCTCCGTCTCAGACGAAAGCTCAAAAGACCATTTAGATGATTTAAGAGTCCAATCCCAGCGAATCGCCCCAAAATGCCAAGACCCAATAAGACGGCAAATGAAACGGTTCTTTGCATTCTTTGGTTTCCGATAGAGTCAAAGCTGGTTCAGGTCACCTGAACAGGGTCGCAATGGACTCGCCACTGTCGTCGCGGAATTCAGCCCGTGCATGTTGTCCGAATAGAAATGGATAGAAAGAGAAGACGATCGCGAGCATGTTCCACCTACATCCATCTACTCTGTGATCATTTCCCCACCCACACAGCGTGAACTTGAACCCTCGGAGACCGGATCATGATCATATATCCCACACACTCCATGGGAATATATGCCGATCAATTGACCCCCATGGCATCACCCCTGGCCGTTCCTCGGCATATCTTCCAATCCCATGGAGTGTATGGGATATCATGGCCCATGGCCCATGGAAAAACATGCGATTCTCAAGCAGCGACGTTGGATCCGAACTGCCAGGAGCCTTTTTCCACACCATGGTCGTTCTGGTGCTTCAGTTCGACGCCTCGCCCGGACCGCCGCTTTCGATCTCGCGCGCAGCCCGTCTCTTCGTGGTCTGACCCCACCGGGCGGCTCGGACCTTTCCACCGCCGGCGTTCGGAGGAACGAGCCGGGAACGGGTCCTGCTTTTGATTCACCAGCTGCTCGTCCCACCTGGTGCGGAAGGGACCGAGGCGGCAGGGACTGACCACCAGAAACCCCCCACAGGTGGCATCAAACACCGGGTGTTCTCTTGCAAACAAGACATGGCTTTGATGGCAAACAGGGTGTGTGAAAACCTGTCGGGCTCATGGGATGAAACCCCGTGGCACCGTCGCAAGGTCGCAGGTCTGGACCTGGACCTGGTCGGCGGTGGAACTCCCAGTGAGGTCCCGTTCCGACCAGTGCAGGCGTGGTGGGTGGGGGGTGCACGCTTCGAAACGTCAACCTGGTGGGAGCGACCTCGCGGAGCGACCCAATGCCACCGAAACATGGTGGAATCATGTGCATGTGAATGCCTTTCAGCACGAGCCCATTCAGCACCCCTTCAGAATGCCTTCTTCCGAGAGTCCCATGTGCCTTTCTGCAGCCACCATCCCTTTTGGATGCGTTGGCCCCCCGACGCGTTCGACACGTTCGAAGCGTTCCCTTCCCTGCCCCTCTAAGTCCCGATCCCCACCGATCGCGCGGGCAACCTGGCAGTGAGCTCGAAGTTGTTTGCTTGTTGCTTCTGGATCGAGGCCTCCAAATGGGAGCAAAGAAGACAAAGGTCACGCCCTGGATGGTGGCTTGATGTTGAGTATATCCTATTCCCAGGTTTCAGTAGATGATGATGGTTCGTAAAGGCCTTTCTCTAAAATAGTGATATCTTCTTGCCACCTTTACTGGGGCACCCCCAAGCGTGGTGTTTAGAGGGGCCAACCTGTGAACCCTGCAGGTCTCACACCTTCCGCATGCCGCCCGCCACAGATCTGGGCCCCAAACATGTCGCGCCGTCCACTCGACCAGTCATCGTTGACACACAGACCCGTTGTTGTTCCGCTGGGCGACGCAATCACTGGCCGGAAATCCAGTACACCCCCGAAAACCCGACAATGGCTCGTGGAAGATTGTTTCCCTCTACCAACCAGTGGTTGTCGTCCTTGCGATCGTCTTCCAGTACAGCACTTCTTCTCCACGCTCGACTCCAAAGGACTCTCGTGACTCGAAAGGCACCCCCCAAAAGCCCGCCGTGGTTTCTGTGATCCACACTCCGGCGCCGATGCCGGCCGCGAACTCCAGCAAACCACACCAAGCAAAGGAATGCGTGTCTCCAACCTAATAGCTCAAAAACGCGTTCCTGCAAGGATCACAGGCAGCTTGACCCCCACCATGGCCGAAACCAGACCCGAGCTGCGTGTTCGAAAGCACCAGACAGCTTGACCGAGCTGCACCTTCATCTCTTGCAGCTCTTCCCGCATCTGCGCGAAGTCCTTCCGGAAGGCCTGCGTCCCAGGGCCACAAGGACAGGGAGGAGTCGATGATGAGTCGAGAAGCCGATGTGTTCGGCCAGAACAAAAAAGAAAGAAAGAACACACCCATTGGATACTTCATTCATTTCTTCGTTTCCTTGTGTTTTCTTTGTAGATGTCCTCACTTTTGCGGTTTGATTCTTCCAAAGGACTGATCCCACTAAGACTGGCCGTGCATCCCTGGTCCGTGTGAATGGGCAACCCCCCCACAAAAGTGTTCCTCTGGTGGTTCTTTGTACATTCAAACATTACCTGTTGGAAGTTGGAGAATGAGACAAGCCCCAGATGTGTTCTTTCTAAACAGGTTAAAGAGGGTCTATGTGTTTAAGACTCAAGGGTTAGAAAAGAAAGCATGCTTTCCCGAGTGAATGACCTAAGAGAAGGGGACAGCACCAAAGACATTGTCCCTCCTCAACCGCGCTTTCTTACGTGTTCTGAAAAACCCGCCATAGAAATTAGGGATGGAGAGGAGGTCCAACATGTAGTCTACGGGGGAAAATGCATCGTTTCATTGGATGGTGATCTTCTTCGCAGGTCACTTCTTCTACCGGGCGCATGAGGTGCTTGACGTGGAGCCAGGTGAGGTGAACCGACATGACAAACCAACACAAAAAATCAGAGAGAGAGAGAGAGACAGGCCGGACCTCACCGTACAGGAATCTGCGCACCAGGTTGCCAGGTTTGCTTGTAAAATGAGGAAAAAGATGTAGTCTACACTGTAGAAGAATTCACATGGAACGTTTGTAGAGGAAAATCGTGTTTCCAAGGTCCATGCTATCAGGTTCCACGTTCATCTTAACGGGTGTGAGGGTTGATGCTCAAGATCGCTCCAGCATGGAGTTTCCAGGAGCGCCCCGAACGGTAGCGTCCGATCCCTCCGTTCGAGTCGCGATGCCCTTTGCTCCGTTCGTAGCTGCAAAGCCGGACACGGACGGTGAGAAATTGACCTAGCACTTGGGAAACGAAAAAAGAAGTGAAAATCAGCACAGCGATGTACAGGGTGTCAAAGGCCCCCAATGTGATGCTCAGAGGACCCCCACACGCGTGCCGAAGGCCGAAAGGCCGTGGATGAGGACACCGAGACGTGCCCACCAACCTCACGGAGAACAACCGCGTGAAACAGGTGCAACAGAGCCACACCCATCGGGGCTGTGACTTGACTGACCCCCCCCCCCTCGGCGCCCAAGGGTGCTGCACCACTGCAGGCGGCAAAGAAAGTCTGCCTCGGAGCGAGAGAGGCCCCGCCCCGCCTGGGTTTGCTCTCGCACCAGCCGCAGCTGGGTTTGGTGGATCTCAAGCTCCTGCCGAGGCAAAGGATGTGATGAGTGGACATCCCACGCCGCGGGTGGACAGTGCCAAGAGAGTTGGGTCGGACATCGTTGGAGTTCATGCGATCACATCGGAGATCAAAAGGCAGAGAAATCGCCATCGCTCTCAGCTTGGAGGCCATCGCTCGTAGGTTGGAGGCCATCGCTAGTAGGTTGGAGGCCATCCCTAGTAGGGTGGAGGCCCCAAACTCGTTTGAGATGGCTGCTTTCCGGATTCACACCCACGTGGATCTCCTTGGCATCCAAGTGCTCGATCTGCCTCTCCCATTCCGCCGCGCGGCGTTGCACCTCCGTCGCCGCCTCCTCAGGGAAGGGAGATGGTGGACCTTGTGACTGGTTGGGGTGTAGATTCCAACGTTCAAAGGGCCTCATTGTTTGAGACACACCCTGGCTGCTGGGCTGCCGAGATGGCTCCAACAGTTGCAAACAGAGTTTGGGTAGAGACTCTCTAAGTTACCCTGAACCTGGTGTGTCACATGACTGACACCGCTAATTCTTTGCACCTATTCTTGCACCATCTATATGTATAGTAGTAGCAGCTCCACCCCCTTTCCGCCCGCTGGCTCGCCCGTCACCCGGTCCGTCGCCGGGTGCCCCGTCCTGCCCGGCGAGGCTCCGAGGTGAAGCGAAGCCCTCGGTGCCGCGGCGGCGAGTCGAGGGCGAGGCTCGAAAGGTCGGAGTCGCATGGAGGCCAGGGTGGTGCTCTCATCCAGTGGAAGTGACAGGGGCACCCCGACTACATCCATGGATAGCACCTAAGCTCCATGTGACTGCTGGCAATTGGTTGTTTCCGAACCAAAAAAAAAGGAGCTGCTCGAAAAAAAGGATGAAGGATAATGAAGGCTAGGCCTTAGGTTTGTTCTTTAAACTGTCTTTTCACCCCCAATTTCTCTCCGGCGTTCCTCGGCCCTCGGACCACCGGCGTCCTCCCGTCGGGCCCCCGTGCCGAGCCGAAGGAGCCGAAGGAGTTCCCACCGCCTCACGGCCCACCGCCGCTTCGGTGACACCGCCTGAAGAACCCTCCAGTCCACCCTACGGACCAGTCCACCCCTACCAGTTGGGCTGGTCTTTGTCTTCGTCCCAGATGGGCGCCGAAGCAGGGTCAGACGTCGGTGGAGGACCCTCCGTCCTCCGCCCGGGTGCAGGGCGCGCAGGGCGTGGCGCAACGCGGGGAGGCGCGCGGCCCTGATTAACGCCTGCCTTGCTTTTGGGGGGGCGCGGTGTTGTGGTGTGGAATCTTGAAGGAACGATGTGTGGAACGATGTGTGTGCTGTGCTGTGTGTGGTTTCGAAGTTTCTTGCCATCCACGGTCATGGTTCAGGTGCTTCCTTCGCAGACCACTCGCGGGGTCAACGCGGATCAACGCTACGTCCGACCTGCTGCGTCGGCGACGCGAACGGATCGCCGTGAGCTCGCCATGCGGCCCGTACGCGCTCCGTCGACATGTGGCCGAAACGACGCCCGGTCCAACTGCGAAACGATCGCTGTGGAGGGCTGTTCCGAAGATTTCCAGGAAACTTCCCACTTCAAGCACCATGATTCCTAGACACCCATTGCGCGTCCGCCACCCCCTCCCCCGAGACCGACCACCGGATGGAAGTAGGCCATATAATGTAGACCGTTGATGAGGAGACACCCCTCATTTTTGCCGTTGCACGTTACCGATTAAGACCGTCTGGCATCCATGGCCCCATCCACGGCGTCTTCATACCGAAACGTTTTGGCCATAAGACGTCTGAGACGGCCGCAGGCTCGAATGTTCGGACTGTTTGGGGCGCATGATCTGTTTGGGTGCTGTTCTGGTGGGTTAAAAGCTCCAGAAAGTGGCGACAAGCTTCTAGACACATCTTTAGATTTCCGGGCCTCTTTCAGCTTCGGAGAGTCCAATTCCCAGTATAGTTCCACCACTTCAAGCACCTCTTCTCTCGGTTTTTGGGCTCCAGTTCTGCACTGGCACCACTGCAGAGGTCCGTCCTCCCTCGCTGCGACCACGTGCGCAGTCACTGGCGCCTCCCCGGAGCTTCAGCGGCGACAGGCTGCGCTCCCGTCCTGAAGCGCTGGAGGTCCGCCATGACTCTGGCCGAGGGTGGGTGCAGGCAGTGGTGGGTGCGATGATGGTGGATGGTACCACCCCAATGTAGGCATAATATATGGCATACATGGAGTGTCTGGGTATGAACAGAACCGTCTGTGCCTCTCAGAATCTTTACCTACCAGCCAACTCAGCTCCCTTTTTACCCCTCCTTAATGTGTCGGCTGCTTAAGTGGTTTCAAGCTTCACAAACGGCTTTCTTGGTGTCGGACGGTCTGCTTTCAGGTCGATCGCTTGCAAAGAAAGGGGCCCTTTTTGCCCAGGATTGATAGTGGATTGCATGGACTCCTTGATAGAAAAACCCAAAAAGGAACCAGGTTAAGCATCGCCTCCGGCGCTCCTGGCATCGGACCCTCACGGAGCGATCGGCCTCCGGCGAAGCCCGTGGGGGCCGTCGAGGTCGTGTAGTCGGGACCTCGGAGCAGCGGTGTCGGGCGCTGCGCTTCCGGTGTCCCCCGGGGTGAGACGGTGGAGAGTCCAGGGAAGTGTGAAGTGTGGCGGGGTTACCCCCCTTCGTCCAGGAGTGGTGGGGTGGGTTTTGAGTTGGTGAGTGGAGGTTCTGGGCACCCCATGTTCCTTCCTCCAAGTTCAGCACGTCTTGTAACTCTTGGTAGACCGTTTTTGGAGGCAGGCTAACTCCAACCACGCTGAAAGCTGGCTGCCAGTTCGGGATGAGACGGGGCAATGCCCAACACGTCGTGCCTCCAGTCGTCGTGCCTCCTCAATTGCGGTCATTCTGACTGAACCCTCTAAAACCATGTAGGCATATATTCCATACATGGAGTGTATGGGAATCAACCCCAAACACTGGGTACGACTGGAGACCCAGGGCCCGGGTTCGTGGTTTCAACGATCAACTCCTCCACAGCGCGACCAACTCCACGTCTGCACGACAAGCCACTAATCATAAAGAGCATTTTGGATACAACCTACCAAAACGAGCATAACAAAACCTGAATCTTCCAACAAAAGTCTATTCATGACATGTTCACCAATTTGTTCAGCGGCTCTCAATTCTCCACCCGGTGCGCGTCAAAAGGCTGGGATTGGAGGATGCGAAACTGCCCAACATCGTCTGGCCTTGCGCGGAAGCAGCTGCGCGGCTCGATGAGAAACCGTTTGGAAGCAGAAAAATTGCCAGGGGAAGTCCAGGGGAAGGCTTCCCTCGTCGACGTCCAGCTTCAAAAGATTCTGGGAGGAGGCTATGAACAGGGGAAGGGATATATGATGTAGGAAAAACATCGCTGCAAAAAAAAATCGAACACCTGGGAGATGACTGGTAGCAAAGGATGGTTTGGGAGGAGTAAGAGTCCTCCTCAACGTCTACACAAAACAATTGCTATGACAAACATCACCTATCCCAAATACATATGGTCAGAAAAAACACACCCCACACACCCTGTTGCCCCGAGTCTGTCCAAAAAGCTTACGGAAAAGAGCCGTGGGAACTGGCAATCAAATGGCTTATCAACTTGGATTTCCCTGAGGGTCCTAATGACTCATTTTTGTTCCTATGCTAGTGGTGGATTATGGTTTCCAGGTGGGGTTGGGTGAGTCATTGGAAGTTCTGGTTTCTACAGGTCTAAGCCACTGCACCCAAAAAAGACTCCTCCGGCATGGGAAGATGTCCGACGAGCTGTGGATTTAGAAGATATACCAGCATAGACCCCAAACCGTTTAGTTGGCAAGAACTGTTGTTGTTGTGGGCGGCCACAGCCCCAGCGCCTGCCTCAGCACGACGGCAGCAGGACAACAGAATGACCAAAGAAGGAAACGAGGAGGACAACAGAGGACAAAACGATGAAGGAAGGAAAACAATACGAACAACAAGAAGACAAATAAAGGACAAACTGCGACGAGGCAACGGCAAGAGGACAACAGGACAACATGAGGGGAACATGCCAAGAGAAGAACCAGAGGAGAACAGGAACAAATGACAAGGGGAAAACAAGAAGGAGCACGACCGGAGATACGCTGGCAGCCGCGGCCAATGAAGACCAGAAGAAGGACAACAAGAAGGCAATAGAAGAACAGGACCAAAAAGGTTGTGACAAGAGAAGAAAATGGAGGACACCCAGACTGGCGCGGCCTGACACTCTGGCTAGTTTCTTCTTCCTAGGAGAGAGCCCCGCAAGAAGAGGTCAACAGGAAGAAAAGGAGAGGACATCGGTTTCTGGGGTTGCTTTCTGGAGTTGTCCTGCTAGCGCCGTGCTGTGGCCATCAGCAAATGAAAAGCATTGAAAAGCAAACCCAAAACACTTTGCCACGACTGACCTTCGCCGTGGTTGTGACCTGTGACACGCTCCATATCTGATGCGCCTGACCCACTGCAAGATTCTCTGCGCTTGGCGCAGCTCGAAAATTTCCGAGGCAGCGATGATGACCGCGCGCATCTGTACCACTTTGCAGGATAGCTTGATCAACAGTTCGAAAAGAGCAGGTACGTGGATTCTGCGTCCAGAATCCATATTAGTGCCTCAGAACAGCCTCTTCGTAACACCAGCCAGGCAGTCCCCCTGCTAAATCAAAATTCAACTGCAAGAGCAATCAGCATGACTCCAATGGTGACACACACAATCACACAGGCTGTCGTCAGAGTCCGTTGCACTCGAAGTGATGGACCACTTCCGACCTTGCACCGTCCATGCGACGTCCTTGCAAACCCGAGCCACCACCGAAGGTGTGATGCCTCGGCTAGGGTGAAGTATCAAAAATTATGTACCGCATCAAAAATAAATATTCAAGGTGATCAATTAAAAATTAACTGCTTGATCAAAAAAATAAAGTTTTTCTGCCACGAGCCCTCTGGGAATAAGCCCTCTAAGAACAGCAGGTCTTCGCACTTTGGGCTGGGCGTCAGACCTGCTGGCATTTGGGTTGGAGCCTGTAGCCTCCCGCTCTGGCACCTTTCCTTTTGTAGCCTTCTCCTTTGGAGGCTTTCGCGGTACCAGCCGAATTTCGAGATACGAGACGGATGAACCGTTCCTAAAAGACCGGGTCACTTGTCCCTGGGTCCCTGTTTGTCGGGCACCAACTAACGAGCCGTTCTCCATCTACCACCACCAGATCTGAATTGAAAATACACCTCATGGCGTGATGGTGTTTAAAGAGGCTGTCCATCTACCTCCGTTGATTTTGTTTATCCTCGGTGTCAACTGTGCAACCCCGGACCCTAATCTATAGGAGGCTTCCCGGGTCCAACCCAGAAAGCTTCCAAAAGAAGCAGCATCAAGAGGACAGGAGCCAAAGAAAGCTGACCAAAAGCTCCAAAATCAGAAATCCGGACCCTATCTATCTTTAGGAGGCTTCCCGGGTAGTTGGAGCCTGTGGCCTCCTGCTTTGGCACCTCAAGCAAATAATCACTTAGTTAAAGCGCAGGACTATTTTTGCAGACACCATGTCATCCTCAGAGTGAGACGTGAATCTTCCGCTGATCTGTACACAAGGCAATAGGGCAGTTGTCGTAGAAGGCACTGATCGCCTCGCGAACAGCTTCCACATAAGCGTCGAGACCCAACGCAAGACGCGCCGTCCGACAAATAGATAAGTGTCTGGACAATGAAGGCCCAACTTGACCCACTGTGTCTGCGGGTACGAATACACTCGTCTCAATGTGCTTCTGAAGTGCTTCTGCCTCATCACGAGTGGTGCACTTGTACAGCGACACGTGATGCATGTTGGAGCCGACGTTGATGCAGGGCAGCACAAAGGGCAACTTCCATATGGTGACCCCCACGTCGGTCACCAAGAGCATCTGAAGGAGTTTGATGCCCTGTGGGGTGGGATCCATCGGACACTTGAAGAGGGTCGGCCTTAACATCAACCCAATAAAGCGCAAGAAGGCTTTGGCCAGGGGCTTGCCGCCCTTCCACAAGGTCGTGTGCTGTGGCACCCGCCCATCAACCGAAACCGAGGAAAGATTCAGTTCCAAAGTTGCAGGCGTTCGCCACATCATAAAAGCGCCCAGCAGCAGAATTTTCATCATGGTACAGGATTAATGCTACAAGCGATACTGTGAGCCCAAGCTACAGCCGCTCAAACGTCATGAATCACTACCATGATAGTCTGCAAAAAATGAGCATGGACACGCACATACTTTGCAAATTTCTTGCCACAAAAAATTGAATTCAAGCGGAACCTTGACTGTTGAACATTAAAGCTGCTGCCGTTCTAAAAAGGAAAGCCAGGCAGCCAGGCGGCAAGGAAGGAAGAAGGCAGGAGGAAACAACGTAGCATAATGTGGTAAGGAAAAGACTAAGACAATAAAGAAGGTAAAGGATAGAATCGGATAGAGTTAAACAAACAAGAACAAGACAAGAACCATCAAACATGTTCATCGCACCCGTTGGCCACTGTAGTACATACCTGAAAGCATTAGCCATGTCTGGGGGGAGGCACTGCGCCCTCCCCCTCAACCTCCTCGTGCCACAAGATTCCTGCTACGAACTTTGACTTTGAGCGGAAACTGCCTGCGATGTAACACTACACACAATGCAGGAGCCGGAAAAAGAGGCGGGCGAGGAGGCCAACATTAAATAAAAACAGCTAACGGAAGGGAAAAAGGATGCAAAAGACTAGAACAAGGTGAAGGTGACAGTGCGTGCTTCCATTCTTCCATAGTCTTTGGATCCAATAGGGCGCATTTGCCCCGAAAGGAAGTGTGAAACCTTGTCAAACGCACTGCGCTGAGCGCCAGCGACGCTGGAAACAGTGGCTTTTGCAAACATTCGGCACCGCATGCAAAAAATGCCAATGATGCAGCCGGACGAGGGCGGCACCATTAGCACCACTGCTAGGAGAGTTCTGGTATAGATACCAAATGATTTGTGTGCCAATATTTGGCGTGCTCGGAGGGAGCAGTGTCTTGATTGATCAGCTTGTCAACGGGCAAATGCCAATACGAACGTACAGCAAGATGACATGTAGAAAAAAATAACAGGTTGTCCGAAGTCTGCCAAGCTGCCTAGTGCGCAAAGGCTGCAGAGTGGCGAATCCAAGTGGCCAAAGACCTGGCTGGCCGCGATGTCGAAATGAAAACAGCCAGGAGATGCGTGCGTTTTCGGGTGAAAGAGTCCAAAGTGAAAACACAAACAATGTCCGTCTCAAATGAGGGGGTTCTTTCTGGTGGTCAAATGTTGTAGAGATTATTTGATTGAAGTTGAATCTGACTAAGCTTCGTAAAGATGCCTGTGAGAGCGGCTTTGAAAGAGTCCTCCGTGTCGGTGCAAACTGTCCTAGCTGGCTTGCGGCTCCAAAATCGTTGCGGCTCCAAATCGATCACCTGCCGATCCCCGTGCCCGGCGTAGCTTTCGCCATAGGCTCAGGTGGACATCACCACAGGTTGTCCTGGAGAGCTTTGGCGAATGGATTTGAGGCCTAGACCGTATTTCCGGTCAATGACTGCACTCTGGACAAAGATGTAGAAACCATCGCAAACAGTCTAGCACTGCCCTCGAGTATCTGCTGCCGCGCTGAAAAGGGTATCTCTAAAGCCGGCCATGTCATGGGTAAACGTGAGAGTGCAAGTTATTAGAAGCCGAGATCAAATGCCAGAGTTCTGGTTGGATCGTTGGGCGTGAATGGTGACCCTTGTGGTGATCTCCAGACTGCTAGGATTGGATATCCAAAAGGTCGTGGAGGGAGCTTCTCCAGATCACCGCCCCAGAAGGGATTGCCCCAGGCCTGCAAGAAGTCAGGACCTGCCTGGGCAAAGGCCTTCTGGGCAGCGGCCAGGACCGGCACCTGCAAAACAAGTGTCAAGCGATGTCCATGCCTGACGCCGGCCTCATCCAGAGGGTCGCGGGCGACAAGAGGGAGGCATCGGCGTCGACCAGCTGCACAAAGCGGCAGGCGTGGCACTCACGTAGCCACGCGGACAAAGCCGCAACTGTGCAGTCCGGGGAGGCGGCGTGAACGAAGTGGCGCCCAGAAGGCAAGGTCACGTGGATGTACATCACGCGGCGCGCCGGCGAGCGGGAGCGCTCCAACATGGGCCAGGCAAGAAGAAAGAGAATTAGTAGAACGTAGTAAAAATTCGAAAATTTGTCGATGACGCGCGTGTAGGGTGGAAAAAAGTTTCC